TTTTTCAAATCATCTGAAACACATTCTTTCCAAGTTTTTCTGCTTACACCTCCAGCTTTTTTTGTGAAACTTCTCACTCTCTACATGTCGATAACCAGTCATCTGCATTTTTATGCTTTACATGCCTAAAACACCTAAATCTTCCCTGACGTACCCAACCAGATATACTCACAACGCCTTATCTTTTTCTTAAATCATCACTACTTTTATTTTCTTTTAAAGTCACACCCGCATATCCATCTAATCATCATCTTTTCCTTTCTTTCCAAAAGCTGGACATCACCAAGCTTCGTTGTCCATGTTTCACTGCTATACATCATAACACTCTGGACACATGTGCTGTAGAACTTTCCTTTAATTATTAATGAAGCACCTCTTGCTGTTTAAAATGGAGATAATTCTCGTAACCAAGCAGACATTACTCTTACCATAGATGCTTCTTCTGCTCCACCAGTTGATTCAATTGTATCACCAAGATAACAAAATAAACTAACACACAAAATCTTTTCTCCACTTTCTATTTCAATCTCTTTTTTAACTTCTTCTCTATACTCACCAAAAGTATATTTTCTACACTCAAAACCAACAATCTTTAAAAAAAATCTTTTTAACATCTACATCTCTTATAAACCCTTTGCAATCAAACTGTACAAACTTTAGAGTTAACTTCAACTTTCTTCCTAAACACTCCACATAGCCACTTCCTAGTATTTTCTACTTGCTCATTCTTGACTTTACAATACATACCTTTATCTTATTAATGTTTATCTTTTTCTCTTTTGCTTCAATTCCATCTTTACAAGTCTCGAACCTTAATACTAACTCTTCTTCTATTTCAGTAATCTCTGAGTAATTGCTTTCGCTAACTATTTGCTCCTCAAATTCTTCATTTAATTTAAAAATGTAAATAACTGTTTATATGGTTTAACTTTTAAAAGAAAAGTTTATTTATATGGTATATTATAAGGTAAGCGGACTGAGCCATGAGGAGTGTGAGGGGACCCGCGCTAGTAAGTGACTCCAAGAAAGGCTGATCATGTTATGTAATTTCTTAAAAATTATTTAATAAAACTTGTATTACATTTAAAAAATGAAATTTATAAGATAAACAGAAAGCAACTTAGGGCCTTCACTTAGGACCTCCAGATTCTTAGGCTTAGGCCCTTAGCGTCTAAGGCTCTTAGCTTATGTAATCAGTGGTGAATTCACCACTGATTACATAAATAACATAATTAAATGTAATTAATAATGTTATATATCCGATTAAAAACATGAGTATATAATTTAATACAAAACAGCTGTACAGTAAAAATAAAATTCTATGAAGATAACTAGTACGCTAATTCATTTTTAAACCGATATTTCTTACGAATCCAAATAAATAATTAATTTACATATTAACTTGGTAAATAGTTTTTATTAACCGCAGAGCTTTGTAGTTTTTTTTTTTATTTATAACCTTTTACTGTCTGAAAAGTTTTGTTCTCAAATGTTAGAAGAATTTATTCCTAAATTTGGCCTTTTTTCTTTTATGTTTCCCAAAACATAAAAGAAAAATGGTTTAATGCTCTGTCACGCCGCCTGGGACAGCAACCCTGATTGGCGCCTTTATTTATCAAAATTTCCCTATATTTTAGATAAAGGACTTTTTTTTCTTTTTTTTTAAGTACCTTCTTTTCATTTGGCACTTTTTATTAAATTTTTCAAATTAGTTACAATAACTAATGGTTAAAACTGAGTACGTTACTCAGTTACTACGTTACTCAGTTTTAACCATTTAACCTTTAAATAATTTTTTTTTAATGTTTTAATAAAAATCATTTTATTGAATTTTTTCTAATTTACATTTATTTCGCTGTTTAATAAATACAATCAACTTATATATACAAATAAATACACACATATCCATAGTAAAATTGCACATCTTGTCACCAGGTACCGTTTTGTATAAAAAATATAAAATAAAATGGATTTTTTAACGATCTTTATTAGATAAAGTATTAAACAGACAGGGGCTCAAAGAAGATAAGGATGACAATACGTCGTCGCAATCTTTTCATAGAGTCCCTTAAAAAGTTTTAATAAAATATAATCATTTTCATTTTAAACTAAAAATCGAAAAACTAAGAAACTATAAAAGTATAATAGTGTTCTTTTTGCGCTAAAAATTAAAACAAACAAAGACAAAAATAAAAAACAAAAACAAACAAAGACAAAAATAAAAAACAAAAAAGCAAAAGAAAAACAAAACGAAACAAAAAAAATAATAATAATTAAGACTGAAAAAACTTAAAAAATGATCAAGAGACTTCCGAGTAAATATATGGACAAATATAAAAGTATTTTAAAAAATATAAAATTTCAAGTTTTAAAAATTTATATTTTTGTTAGATAATTAAATGAACTTAACGACTTAACCATACACTTAAGTCCTTTTTGATAGGTATTCCATATTTTTGGTCCTCTATATGTAATGCTATATTCCGTATATTTATCAGATTTCCAAGGCAGATTATATGTGTTAACTAAATTTGCCCTTAGGTTATAGTTTTCATTTACATTTGTTTTAAACTTATTATTAAAGTTTGCCGGAGAGAGATTGTTATTAAATTGATACATAAAAATTAAATGCTGATATTTATTTCAAATACATCCATCATTTTCATATCTTTCATTAAGGCATTAGCGTGTTCACGAAAAGATAACTTTTAATCCAATAATAAGTTTTATTAATTATCCCATAATGCTTTAGTTTATTTAAAAAGATGCAATTATCCACTGTATCAAATGCTTGTATCCACTGTATGATATTAATGATCCACTGTATCAAATGCTTTTGATAAGTCAATAAATAATCTTAAGGCAAGTTTGTTATGTTTAAAACCATCAGTTATTTGATTTATTATTTCAAGTATTGCGTGTTCAGTTGAAATATTTTTTTGAAATCCAAACTGATTTTGGTAAAATAAACTGTTTTTAGTAAAATGATCATAGATTCGATTGTAAATTACACGTTTGATAAGTTTTGAAAATACAGAAAGTATTGATATAAGTCTATAGTTAGTATTGTCTGAATGATCATTATTTTTGTATATACGAATTACTTTTGTTAATTTAAGTACGCTAGGAAAAATCCCTGTAGATATTGAGAGCTTTAGGATATGGGTCAGAAGTTTGCTTAGGCTGTTTTGTTTGAAATAACTAAATTAACAGATATTTCATCAAATCCAGCCGTTTTTTTTTTTTTTAAAGAAGAAAATGCTTCTTCAAATTCTTTATAGGTAAATTCATTAACAAGCATAACAGCGTTATTAGAAGGTTGTAAGTATTTTTGAAATAAATCAGATGTTGGAATTATTTTATTAGCAAGATTTGGACCAATGTTTATAAAATAGTTATTAAATTCTTCTAAGATTTGTTTTTGACAGAAAATATCATCGTTGTTTATATTAATACTTTAAGGAAAAGAAGGCGAGCTTATTTTTTTTCTTCCTAATATGTCATTAATGACGGACCACTTTTTTTTAGTATCAAATTTGCATTTGATAATTCGATTACTGTAGTATTTTTTTTTTTTTAGCTTTTTTAATAGGATTTTGGTAAAAATATTTATAATTTTTGTAATTTTTTTCATTATCATTGTTTTTATTTTTTAGAAACTTATTATAAAGTTTTTGCTACTTTTTTGAGCATTTTAACAGCGATTTATCCATCCACGAATTAGCAATTGATTTTGATTTAATTTGTATGACCTCTTGTGGGCAGGTTTCATTAAATTATTCTATAAATTTACTTAAAAAAGTATTGCAAGCTTTATTAGTGTCCTAACATCTATATACATTGATCCACGTTTCTTGTTTTAGTCTATTTGTTAATTTATTAGTATCACTTGTTTTGAGATTGCGTTTTTTCAAATGTATTATATTTGGCTCTCAATCAGATGTCATTTTTATACTTTTATAAATTGCTTTGATGTTTGCGGCTTGATAAACTTCTATCTGTTTTATACTTTCATGATTGAACATAACGGTTATTACGAATTATAAAACACAAAATCTAGCATAATGTTTTTTAAAAACATTAAAAAAAAAAACAGGTATTTTTTTTTTACTGTGTTCGAAAAACATACAATTGTATTTAAATTTTTCTCGAGGAATTCTAATATGGCTTAATAATTTATTGGATTTGATAAATTTGCTACTAAATCTTGAATATACACAAATAGCAAGTAGAACATACATTGTAGAACATACACAAGTAGCAAGTAGAACGTACACAAGTAGCAAGTAGAACGTACACAAGTAGCAAGTCTCGTTCATTGAGTACTAAGATCTGAAGAACCACAATCGAACATTCAACTTTAAATTGAACTTTGCATAGATGAATAACTTTAGTTTAACATTTCTTTGATAACTATTCAAATAGTATTCAGGTTACGCCAGACAGTAAGGCCGTAATTCTATTTTAAATTATTTAAGATCTTTTAAAGCTTTATGAAACACAAACATGTCAAATCACTTAATTTATGCACTTTGAAAAATAAAAAGTATTATTTAAAATTTCAACCACCGTTTTATAGTTTAATTAAAAAAAAGGTGCCGCAATTATGGGCTACTTATAAGCAAAATAGCAATAAAGTTCTACTAAAAATAGATTTATTAATGAATATATTTAGCAAAACTATTTTGGCATTTGCTTTTGGATTGTTAAAATATAAACACTTAAGTCTTAAACTATTTTTAATTGTTGTGTCAAACGAGCTCACCTTAATTAAACGAGCTCATGGCATAGTCATTTGTGAGGATATTAATTTTATTTACAGCAACTATATAAATAGAACTCTATAATAAACTTTTGTGATCAAAAATTAAATATTGTGTAACTTAGTCACCAGTCTCACTGTGAATTTAAAAAAATAATCTTCCAGTAATGTGGTTTTAGCAATATCTTGCGTTACTAAGATATTCAAGTTTTTTTTTTTTTTCGGAATTAGATAATGAAGCTTTTTGAATAGTTTTACCATTTTAACAAGTTTTTTATTTTTAACCTAATATTTTCACGAAACATAAAAGGTAGCGTCGCTTTTATTTTGACAAAAAGGCAATTAAAAAATCAAATGCAAATATTTTGGAACGTAAAATGAATTACAATATTTCCGCTTTCATAACGGAATTAAATAGTTCTACCAAAAGTTCAAACGATTATAAAAGCTTCTCGCTAACAAGTGCAGTACTTAAAATGGTAGCAGTGGGGATTTTAAGTATTATAACAGTGTTTGGAAATTTACTTATCGTTTTAGTATATTGTAAAAGTAAACAAATCCGAAGCCGGACAAACATACCTTTAATATCATTGGCTATCACTGACATGTTTATAGGATTTTATCCAATAAACATAAACATGATAGAAGTTGCACTGGGATATTGGCCCTTAGGAAAAGTGATGTGTAACATATCATTATTGCTTGATTATATTTCAATTCAAACATCAATAAACTACATTGTAATAATCAACTTTGATCGCCATTATTCTATTAAACATCCTTTAAAGCATAGAATGAATAAAACAAGAACAAGAATTATGCTGCAGTTATTTTTTGGGTGGCTATCTGCGGTTGTACTGTGGCTACCTTACATATGTTTTTATCAGTATACGGTGAGGAAAATGAACATGCCGGAAACATTATGCTATGAACAGTTTGCTAAAACAAATGATGTGTCCTTTAAAAGATATTTTATTTTCATAACGTCCGTGTTAGGTTATTTTTTACCACTGATAGTGATTCTTGTGGTCTATACAAAAATGTATTTTATGATAAGACGCCAATCAATTGAAATTTTAAAGATCAACACAACTCCGTCGAATGAAAAATCTTTGGAGTGCGATACTTTGCCTTCTCAATCTAACAATTTGCAAGAATTAAAAAATGGATCGAGAAGAGTGTCCGATTTGTTTAGCGTTACTTCAATTTGTTTAAATAGAAAAACATCTCAAAGTTATACTTTACCATCTATACCAGACACTTTTAAAAAAGAATTTTGTTATATCAGAAAAACTTCACAGAATAATATGCAACTTTCATTTTCAAAACCTGCGGAAATCAATAACAATAAAGCAAGAAGAAAATCGCAGTTTTTTAATAAACAAAAAGAAATACTCAAGCAAAAAAAAGCCCTGCTGATGATTGGGTGTATAGTCTCAGCCTTTATTATCACTGGGCTCCCTCTTAGTGCTCAATGGTTTTTAGTTGCAATATGTCCTAGCTGTTTTCATAAGTTAGTTTTTGATATTTCTAACTTTATAACTTATCCAAATTCTACCCTAAATCCATTTCTTTATGCGCTTGTCAATCGAAACTTTCGTCACCATATGAAGAAGCTGATTTGCAGAGTTTTTATCCAATCTAAACTTGAGAATAAAAATAAAATAAATGAAGATACAGTTAGAGAATTTTCTGTTAGCGAATATTCATAAAAAAAAAATAATAATATTGAAATGTGTAAAATTTATATTGACCAAATATTCAAAGTATTTATATTCAGTTATTCTTTATTATTTAGCTATACCGTGAAAGCAACGAGTTAGCAATGCATATGCAAACATACTTTTTGTAGTTTTTATTTTTTTAACGTTCATAATGTTATAAGTGATATAAGATACAAGAGATATAACAATATATCTCGCATTTTGATCAAAATTATATTATATATAATTTAGAGTTGTCCACTATGCAAATTTTTTTTCAAAATACCGGGATTGTAGTTTTTCCTATTCTACTATTAGGGTATATGTAAAAATATTTTTTATTTTTTTATTTTAAAACCATGGTAATTTTCAGTTAAAAAGCAACGAAAAAATGGCAATGAGTCACATGTGTGTTATTTACTGTCATTATTTCACAATAAAATCAACAAGTCCATTCACAGCTTGCAAATCATATACTTATTTGCCAGTCTGACTCAGTTCTGTGCTTTTTAACTAAATAATATAACAAATCTTGAAAAAATGGAAATTAAGTGTTTTTTTAATGAGTTTTTTTGTTGTCCCAGTGTTTTTTTGTCAAAATCAGGATATTGCTGCCTATGACTTTTGACGTCCTGCAGCAGCCATGTTCTTTGTTGTGGATCATTGGTAATTATGGTCGCATATTCTGAAATCAGTTTCACTCCTCTCTCTCTGCAGTATCCTTAACGACCTTCACCGTACAAACAAATTCCACAGTTTCTTTGTAACCTGGATGCTCTGTCCACGAATAAATTGGTTTACCAAGCCAGTCTGTGTTGATACCAAGAATACTGAACAATGTGTGGGATTAAGGTCCCAGAAGATTTGCCAAACCTGTTTGATGAGTGATTTTACGAAAAACCGGCTTTCCAAGATGAAAAATCTCCAGCACTAGAACTTCTAAGAGTTTTGCAGCCATCTCCAGTTTCACAGATGATGAAACATGTTTACTGAAGAAAGCAAATGGAACTACTTCTTTTCTCAAATAGCATCGATGATTGTTCATATATGAAAGAATAACGTCAGCAGCTTCCTTGTCTAATTTATTGAAATTCATCATGTCATTAATGAGCTACAGATCATTGAAAGGTGCATCAGCGCCAATGCTAGCTTTTGTCCAAGCTGGTGTGATGAAAAGTGAAAGAAATCAGTTCATTCTAAAAAGTTTGATCTTCATTTCCTCGTCATATGGTATTTGTCTTGAAAACATGAACATTTTGCCAGCAGAGAAGTTACAATCCAGCGTGCTTGATGAATGGCTTCTGGTTTCAGAAAATTTACATTTAAATATGTTGCTTACATTTTTTAAAGTTTTGCTTATGTAAAAATATGTAGTATATATTCTTATGTAATATATATTCTACTTTATTGTACTACTTTACAAGGTATTCGTAAATTAATTTGTTTATTATTGTTTTCAAGGTTCCGATGATAAGATCTTTGTAATCTTCTTTCGGAAACCTTCACACTGTTATTACACTTTTTATATATAAAAAGCGTAAAGTACTTTTAATATTAATAATTTATTTTATCACGACTAACATTGTTAACTGAAAAAAAAAATGTACTCCACGTGGCAGAGTTTGCCCAAATATGATGAATGTGTTTTCGGCACATTCACGATAGCCGTCTCTTGGAAATGTTGCAGCCTTTTCGTTTGCTAGTAGATTTATTAAATGCTTTATGGTCTGTTCTTTGATGGTTTTTAACCAGGTGTCTTCAATTTTTAAAGTTTCATTGGGCCACTCTTTATCAAATGTTGGCCAAAAAGCTTTAAAATTTGAGAAGAACTTATTTTCTGGTACAAAAATATTTCCAAACAATTTCTTCCAAACTGCTCCGACGAAAGTTTCGAAGATATGCTAAAACAAGGTAATAGATAAGCAAAGTAAAGAAGTTTTCTATCTAAGCTTTCTTCGATCAATTTAGCAGCACCATTGTGGATGTTACTATTACTGGCTGTGGTATCAAATACTAATGCCACAATTGTATTTTACTACTTGCGATTGTGCCTTGATCTCAAAAAATTTATCATAACCATCCATAGTTGCCTTTCTGTCACTTTTTTGATCTATATAGGAAGCAATATCATCATCTTTCTTTTTTGACGACAGAAGTCTGGATTTTGTGATTTCCTCAATGACATCAGGTGACCCGATATTGAAAAGGCAATCCAACTTGGCCACGTTTTCCACCCGGATCACCTTTACAATTCTTGTTCTTAGACAAGCTGTTCCACTCATTCAAAAGTGCCATAAAATCCAACAGATAATTATGTCTTGTTTTTGTTTTGATGCATGATCCAAAAAGTGACCACATTGTCAATAACTGTATGTCCAATTTCTTGATTTGTTATATGGTTTCAAACATTTTCTTCATTGTGTCATAAAAAAAGAAAAAATTTTCAAACTTGTTGTCAATCAGGCAGCATGGAACCAGTAATTGATGGTGATGGGTGTCCAATTAGCCAAAAGATCGTAGATGCACGAGTAGTAGGTCTTCCTGTGGATGATGGAGGCAAAGTCAAGTTGGAAGTATCTAAAGACTGACTTGACCTGGTTGGCAAAGATGTCGATTTGCACTCTGTTTCTAAAACTATGCCTGGAGAAAACACGTGCCTGCTTAAACTACCTAAGAAACTTTGATGAATGTTACGTTTGATAGAGACACTCGATTTATAGGATTGCGTAGATGTGGCCATCTTTAATTATGATATCGGTAATACTTGAATAGTATGAGTCTAGTATAATTTCAAAGACATGTGGACCGTATGAGGCTATCACCCAAGTGTTATAATTACCATAACCGTACATTGCCAACATTTACTCCATTGCATAAACTAAATGTAGCTATTATTTAATGACACATTTAACCTGATTGACAAATGACCAAAGATAAAATTCGTCTGACCAGATTATTTTATTATAAAAGAGTATTGCTCCAAATAACACACTTTCAAAATTGTTAAATAACTTTGGGCCATTGCAATTTGCACTTTGCTATCGCTTAATTTGCCCCATGCCTAATACACTTTAATATAACCTGGTTACTTTGTTACATAAAGAATAATGCAATTTAAATGTTTCAAACCCTTGATATTTTTCTATAAACCAATCCGTTTAAAGTTATGAAGGATCCCACTTATAACTATAAGGTCTTTATTATCATTTATTTAATGGTATTGAAAATTTAAAGTAAATCTGAAATTTTCACATTGTTTTAATTTTCCCCAAGCATACTGGGTAATATTGTGAAAATAAAAGTTTGAAGCATTTTTACCTTGAGTTTCCAAAAACTTTTCTGACCACAAGGTGACACAAGATGATCAGCGAAATTTTAAAACTGGAAAGTTTCAAACGTTTTTAAAATTTAAAAATGTTCAACTTAGAGATAATTAGTTTTTATTAATTATTTATTTCTGCCTTTAACTTTCCATCTATAAACCTATTTTTTATTTTAGATATATATTTGATCAACACATTTTATGTTTTTCTTTTAATATAATAATTTTTATTTCATGATAAAAATTGAAAAGAAAATAGATTTTTGTGTAACAGTAAAACACAAATAAATATCAGTCTAACTTTTCATAGCATCTATCTAAAAAACCGTACCTTAAAACGATGCATAACCGTTGCCAACCAAACGTTGCATGACTTTTGAAACACTCAAGCTACAAAAATAAGTTTTATATTTTTAGAAATGTTTTAATTAGATTTTTAAATTAATGTTAAAAATGTTGTATTACTGCGAACTTTTGAAATTCCTAAATATTTTATATCCACGTTTTTTCTTTAAATGGTTATTTGATATATTTCTGTAAGTTTAATCTAGTTCAAGCAACGCAGATTACCTGCATCAAATATAACAAAGTTGTTATTCTGTCTCTGCTGGATAGAATTTTTTTCTATTTTCTGCATTCAGTAAACATCGAAGATATTATCCTTTATTTTTTCTATTTTTATCATTTTCATAATAATTTATTTCTGTAAAATCATCTTAATTTTTAGAAATAAATTATTATTTATGTAAAAGTTATTTTAGAGTTAACTTGAAAAAGTCTCTGCATAAACTTTAACAAGTCTTTATACAAATGTAATTAAACAAATTAATTTAGATAAAATGAGTTTTCCGATTGCAAGTTATTTTGCTAACATTATTAGAAACTTTTAAATGTAAAATAAATTTTTGATCTTTATTATTATAAATGTTTATTTTAAATGGCTTTGTATAAATGCACTTTATCTGCTTATTCACAACGTCGTATAGACCTCCCACAGACGTTTGAGCTCGCTGGGTAGAACTTAATCAATTTAAATATTTCATACTCCACACCTAATTTGATCAATTCATTACAAGTTTTATTATTAGCAAACTTTTCAAAATAATACAAACATATTTATGAATAATCGCAAGACTTGTTTCAAAAAAATGTTATTTAAGTATTTATAAAAAGAATAAATTATAAATTTAAATAGGGGAAAGAGGCCTATGACGGCATACTTAACTTTGAAGCTTTATTATTCAGTATTCTGAAAATCAATAATAAAAGTTTTGCTATGGATACATTCCTTTTTACATGTAGAACAATAATAACCCTCGGATATATCATCAGTTTTGTTTTTTTTATAAGTTATTCCTATTTTTAAAAAAATGAAAAGTATGCCACCATAGGTAACCACTGCTCCTATGATAGCATAGGGGAGGATGGGGCTGGTTAGGATCAACGGTACCTTGATGATTTCATTTAACCTTAGAGTCTTCCCTCAGAAAAACCAGAAATTACTTGGAGTCATCCTAATTTACCATTTCATACTATACAGTAGCATTGTAAAGTTTCGCGCATGCGCATTGTATATATTGCGTTTTATGTAATTTTTGGACCAAAAAAAAATTTTGGAGCACCGTTTTCTTTTTGCTTTACTTAAAAGTAAGTTTTTCTTATAAAAAAAAAGTTTTTCTAACTAGTCAATATTGCAACACACCCAAC